TTTCTCTTTCAGGTTCTTTCTTTTCCTTTACCTCCCTGGTTCCTTCCCATTATCCTGGTTCCTGTAGTTATGTCTGGATACAAACTCACCAGGATTTGGTTCTAGGTTCCCCATATCAGGGAGGACATATGTCAATTTTTTTTTTCTGAGTCTGTGGCTACTGATTTTTGTAAGCCAATTTTTTTCTCCTGCCACTTTGTTTAAAGTGTTGATCATTTCTACAAATTTTTCGTAGAATTTTTGGATCTCTTATGTAGAATATATCATCTACAAATAGAAAGGTAGTGATTTTTGTAGATTAATTTTGTAACCTGTCACTTTACTGAAAGTGTCAATCAGCTCTAGGAGTTTTCTGGTGGAATTTTTGGGATGTCGTAAGTATAGTATCATATCACCTGTGAAAAGGGATAATTTGACCTCTTCTTTTCCAATTAGTACCCCTTTTATCTCCTTCTCTTGTCTTACTGATCTAGCAAGAGGAGTGGAGACAGTGGATAGCCTTGTCTGGTTCCTGATTTTAGTGGGAATGTTTCCAGTTTTTCTCCATTTAGAAAGATATTGGCCATGGGTTTATTATATATAGCTTTAATTAATGTTGAGATTCTTCCCTCCAGTCCAATTCCCTCTAAGACTTTTAACATAAATACATGTTCAATTTTGTCAAAGGCCTTTTCTGTATCTATTGACATGACCATGTGATTTTTGTCTTTAAGTCCATTTATGTGATTTATTACATTTATTGACTTAAACATATTGAACTATCCCTGCATATCTGGAATAAAGCCAACTTGGTCATAATGGATGATCTTTTTGATGCGCGCATGTGCGTGTGCGCGCGTGATTTGCTAATATTTTTTTGAGAATTTTTGCTTCTATCATCATTAGGGATATGGGCCTATAGGTTTTTTTTGTTTTGTTTTATTTGTTTTGTTTGTTGTTGTATCTTTATGTGGTTTTGGTATTAGAGTGATACTAGCTTTATAGAAGGAGTTTGGGAGTTCTTGCTCTGTTTCTATCTTTCTGAATAACTTAAGTGAATTGGTTGTAGATCTTTCAAGGTCTGTTAAAATTCTGCTGTGACTGCATCTGGGCCTGTTTCAGTTTGCTTATTTGTTACAAGTTTGTTTAAACCATTGCTCTTTGCCAGGCATGGTTGGACACACCTTTAATCCCAGCACTTGGGAGGCAGAGGTGGGTGGATCTCTGTGAGATCCAGGCCAGCTTGGTCTCCATAGTAAGTTACAGACCAGCTGTGACTACAGGGAGACCCCGTCTCAAAAACAACTAACTAACTAACTAACTAAACTAAACTAATTAATTAAACTGTTGATCTTGGTTAAACTTTGGTAGAGCCATTGAATTTAGAAATTAGTCCATTTCTTTTGGATTTTCAAATTTATTAAAGTTTTTAAAGCATTCCCTTATAATGTTCTGGATTTTTGTGTGTGTGTGTCTGTTGTGATGTTTCCTCTTTTACCTCTGATTTTGTTGGTTTGGATTTGTTCTTTCTGTTGGTTAGCTGGGCTAAGGTTATATCTTTCTGTTTATCTTTTCAAAGAAACAGCTTTTAGAGTCATTGATTCATTGCATTCAGTTTTGTTTCTAGCTCATTGATTTTTGCTCTCATTTCTATTATTTCTTCTCATCTGTTGGGATTGGGTTTTGCTTTTACAAATTCTTAAGTTGTACCATTAAGTCATTTAATGTGTGTTTTTCTGGTTCTTTTTTTTTTTAAATGTAGGTGCTTAGAGCTATAAATTTCCTCTTAGGACTGCTTTTAATGTGCTTTACTGTGTTGTATTATCATTTTCATTTAGTTCCAGGAGTACTTTGAGTTCTTTCTTGAGTTCTTAGCTCCATTCATCATTCAGGAGTGGGTTATTTAATCTCCATGAGTTCACGTACTTACTAGAGCTTCTTTTGCTGTTGATTTTGTTTTATTGCATTGTGATCTGACAGAATATATAGAATTAGTTACTTTTTTTGTATTTGTTGAGGTTTGTTTTGTGCCCCAGTATTGGTCTATTTTAGAAAACTTTCTGTGGACTGCTGAGTAGAATGTGTGTTTTTTGGTGCATGGGTAGAATATTCTGTAGATGTCTGTTAGGTCTATTTGATGTATGATGTAATTTAATTCATATGTCTCTGTTTATTGTTCATCCAGAGGTCCTGTCTATTGGAGAAAGTAGGGTATTGAAGACACCTACTATTACTTAATTGGAGTTAATCTGTGTCTTTAAGTCTAACAGACTGTTTTTATGATATTGGATGCACTAGAGTTTAGTGCATATATGTTTATGATTGTGCTGTCTTCTTGGTCAATTGTTTCCTTGATTAGAATATAGTAACCTTCTTTACCCATTTTGATTAATTTTAACTTGAAGTCTATTTTGTCAGATATTAGAATATCAAGTCCTGCTTGGAATATGTTTTTTTCATCCTTTTATCCTAGGTGACGCCTATCCTTGGCGATAAGGTGAGTTTCTTATAGACAATAAGTAGACAAATTTTGTTTTTTAATGCATTCAACTAGCCTGTGTCTTTTGACTGCAGAGTTGAGGCCATTGATTTAGAGCTATTGTTAAAAGTATAGATTTGTTACTGTCATTTTATTTTCTGTTAGTGTTCTTAGCCTTATTTTGTGTTTCTGTACTTTCATTTTTTTTTTTCCTTTCTGTAACCTCTTGAGTATGGTCTTTTCGTTTTTCCGTCCTTTGTATTGCTTTCTCTGTAGGGCTGGACATGAATTCTTTTGGTGTATTTGTATCATGGAAGAGTTTTCTTTTCCATTCAACTATAATAGTTTTTCTGGGTAAAGTACTCTGGGTTGATATCTATGGTCATTTAGAACTTGGAATATTTTGCTCCAGGCTCTTCTAGCTTTTATAGTTTGCACTGAAAAGTCAGCTATAATTCTTGTCATTTTTCCATTTGCAGCTTTCAGTACCCTCTCTTTGTTCTATACATTTAGTGTTTTTATTATGATATGCGATGGGGAGTTTCTGTTCTGCTCCTGTCTAATTGGTGTTCTGTGTGCTTCTTGTATCAATATAGGTATGTGTTTCCTTAACTCTGGGAACTTTTTTTTTATAATCCAGTTGAAGATCTGGTCGATGCTGTTGACCTGAGAATCTTCTCCTTCCTCTATGTTCATGATTTGATCCTTTTATGATGTTCCATATATCCTGCATATTCCACTCCTATGTTTTTAATTTTTTCATATTCTTTGCTTGAGCAGTCCAATTCAGCTTTGTCATCTAGTCTTGATTTTATGTTTTCCATTTCATTCATTCTGCTTGTGAGGTGTTCTCCTGTCATTTCAAATTGGCTTATTGAGTTTTTTAGTTCCATCTTCATTTCAGCTTGAGTTTTCTTCAATATTTCTCCTTCATGAATCCACTTTTCAAATCCTGAATTGAATTTGTCATTTCATTCAGCTGTATATTCATATTTTCTTGAGCTTCAGTCAAGAGCTTGAGTTTTTTGAGTTGTGTATGTTTTTATTTAAGCCGATAAATTCTTTGATTATATATATGATTGTTCTTTTAAATTCTGTGACCAGGGGTTCCTCTGGGCAATTCTCATTGTAGTACATGTCTGTAGGACTGGTAGATTTTCATGAGGACGTATCTTGGATTTTCATATTTGTGTTTTTGCGTTGTGGACTGGGCACATGGATTTCTTTTGTTGGTTGTGTGTCTGATATGAAATTCTAATCTGCGCTTGTTATTCGTAGTTTGGTTCTGTTTATATTGTTGATGTAGCTTAATTGCTTTCTGATCAGGTGTGAATAGTTACTTGGTCTGTGTCTCGGATTCTCACTTTTGATTTTTTATTGGCTGATCAGGATGGTTCCAGGCTGGCTGGTTAAGAGCTCTCTTGCAGAAAAAAAGGGTCCTAGGGCCAATTTGAGACTATGGGAATTTGGTGGCTGGGTTCTGACGTGCCAGGAGAGGGGCCTAAGCCCAAAGTAGGGGTGGGGATAGCATGAGGAGGGTCTAATTATCCCTACATTTTCTTCTGAGTTCAATCTTTAAAAATGTTTATTATTTTATTTTATGTATATGAATGTAATGCCTGCATGTATGTAAGTGTACCTGTGTTGTGAAATGGCTGCAGAAGTCACAAGAGCACATCAGATTTTCTGGAACTGGAATTACAGATGGTTGTTACCTGCCATGTAGATACTGGGAATCGAACCTGGGTCCCCTGAAGGAGCAGCCAGTGCTCTTAACTGCAGAGCCATTTCTCCAGACCCCTGTATACAATTCTTACATATTTTGTTTAATCAGTTTCCTGTTGGTGGATATTAAGAATGTGTCCATATTTATCATTATGAAAGCATGGTGATTAATATTTTTAACTTTTTATTAATTTTGCTGTGAAGAGGATGAAACTCAGGGCCTCGTTCACACCAGGTAAGCATCCAGCTACTGAGGTACATCCTGTTTGATAAATGTTTTTGTACATACATCTTAATGTGATTATGACTTTATTCTTTAGGAGTCTCTGTGGTTGTAGATCTGAGGATTGCATTAATGTGCCAAACATTGGTATACATGCATATATACATACATGTATATATGTCATACATCATACATGCGTAAATTTCAACAAAATATGTGGTTGATTTTGTAAGTCTCTTAGAGTTAAGATATAATATTATAGACTATTTAAAAGTGTGTACATTGTACATTAAGCAGTGAATGTTCACTGCCCAATTAGAAGAATTAATTAATGGAAATCAGGAAGATGAAAAATAAGACCATTTACCATATTTTAAGACACCTTACCAAACTACAAACTCCTTTTGCCCCAATGTGAAAAAATGTAGGATTTGTTTCTCATCTAGGACTTTCCTTGTGTCTCCAGCTGAAAAGTCTGCAAGGACAAGTTGACATTGCTCATCATCTCTCCAGTGCCAGCATACAGAAAATGCTTAGTAACTGTGGTACCCATACTGTAATAGATAAGCACAGATACTGTATTTTCCATTTCAGGTAGAGCTCTTTCATCACTCAGAAATTCATGTTTAGTTCAACCAGACAAGAAAACAGAAGCCAATGCTTGGGTCTCCAGTCCCTCTAGAAATTCACTGTCTATTACAGCAGCTAAGAAGACTTCATGGGATTGCCCTTTGAAGAACCACAAAGAGCCAGAGCAGAAGATTTACAAGAAGACTAATCTGGTGGTCAAACCTTTACAGCTGGTAAATGGGGTTTAAAGACTTTGTAGACTAGGCAAAGTAACTGAATAAATGCTTCTTTAAACCAAAGTGCTACTTAGGGAAAAAAAAAATCTTATTTCTAGATACATCATCTTAGAAGAGAGCAGTTCTTTTGTCCAAAGTCACTTTATGTCACATTTCTTGTTTTCAGATTTTCTATTTTCAGATGATTGAAATTTAACAGTTCTCTCCTGATGGCATTGCTGATTTCTCTCTTCCCGAATTTCACAGGAGAGGTTTGAAATCCTCAGGACTTGGCTTTAGAGAGTGTAGAGGCTGTGTTTGGGCTCTGTACCATAACAATTTGTACAGTCTCCCACTTATTTAATTGCTACCAAGGAATTAATTGCTTATTCTTTACAGTAGCTGGCTTTTTCCATAGAATGAAGAAATTTTGAAAGCCTGCTATATTAAGGAGGCCTAGAGGAAAAAAAAAACTTATTTTAGAATGAGAGTGATTGCAAAATCCTGTTTTTGATTGGAAGACTAGCCTGGAATTTGATCCGTTCCTTAAAGTTATCTATTAGGTAGGATGAAAATCCATTATACCTCAGCCTGAATATTTGAGATGCTATGTTGCTCACTTTGTTGAGGACATTTGCATAGCACTCTTTAACTCCTTGACCAGTATTTTCATTATGTAAGTAAAAGTCACTTGAATAATTTTTTTAAAATATGTGATTGTAAGCTCCATTCTTTTCTTTTCCCTCCCTCCCTCCCTCCCTCCCTTCCTTTCTTTTTGTCTGTTTTTTGAGCCATGGTCTCCCTGTAACCCCAGCTGGCCTGAAACTCACTGTGTAGACCAGGCTGGCCTTGAACTCCCAAAGATCTACCTGCCTCTGTCTCCCGAGTGCTAGGATTAAAGACATGTGCTACCATGCCTGGCTGTAAGCTTCATTCTTAAGTGTTCTGAATCAGTAATTCTGGCTTGAGCCCAAGAATCTGCATTTTTATAATTTTCCAGATGACTGTGATAAAAGTGATTCATAAAATATACTTTGAGAAATATTGTCATAGGATTTGAAATATTCTTTAAAGCCTTTTATGATTTCTTTCTTCACTTTCCCCCACTGATAGCAAGTAGAAACAAACAAATCACAGCTCAGCTTGGCAGTGGCAAACCGTGATATCCCACCAGATGCTGTACATGCAAAGAAATTATGCAGACTTCCACCATTAGATACCAGTACCCTTGTAGGGGTCTTTGTGGAATATATCATCTCTCCTAGTCAATTCTACATCCGAATCTATAGCAGAGATTCATCAGAATTACTTGAAGACATGATGATTGAAATGCGGTAGGAGCCTGTTGTTTTCGGTGTATTTTTAAATTTATCTCTAGTCAACAGTTGTCAAACATTTTAGCCTCAGGATTATTTTTATATTTATTTTTTTTATTTTATGTATGAGTGTTATGTCTTCATATGTTAAGTGCCCATGGAGCATGGAAGAAAGCATCAGATCCCCTAGAACTGGAGTTATGGGCAGTTGTTAGCCACCATGGGGGTGCTGGGATTCAAACCCAGGTCCTCTGCAAGAGCAGCCAGTACTCTTAACTGCTGAGTCATCTCTCCAACCCCAAACCTCAGGATTCTTAAAAATGATAGAACTTTTGTTTATTGCTGCTTAT